CGCAGGGCTTCACACGTTTCTGCCCGTTGATAGTCATACACTGGCCCGTGACTTTGACTGACTCACCTAACTGCTCCAAATCCTAGTGACATCATGTGCCCAACGGGTGAGAGAGTGATTTTTATCAGGCACCTACTACGTGCCACCCACTGGGTCGGGCGCTTTTTACCTTCCTAAATCTCGGAGAGTCATACTTTATTGGCCGCTGGGAGGATTCAAGGAGGCGAGGTGTAATTACGGTGAAGAGATCCAGCCCAGTTCTCATCACATCTAAAAATGACTGGACAACTAACTGTAGTAAACTTTAACGGCAGAAGCCCCGGAGAGACGCAATACCAACGCGTGAAGACTCTGGCACTACGAGACGGCTACATGGGGCCCGGGCGTCATGCGGGCTGCAGAGATCGGCCTGCAGATAAAGGGTCACCGTTTCCACATCCGAAGCTTGGGTACAGATGGCCCTTGGGAGTGTAAGTGGCAGGGATTCCAGAACCTGTCCCCTCTGGAGTCTCAGCCCTGGCTGCCCATCAAGTTGACCAGGGAGCCTTAAAAAATAGTGATACCCAGGTCTCCTCTCTCAGAGCAATTAAAGCAGATACTGGGGACCAGTGCTTAAAAAAAAAACCTTTCCTAATTATTTTAACGTAAAGCCTGGACGGAAAACGGTGTATTAACATATACAGCCTTTATTGCCAAGCACATAGGGTTACGGGCACCTGATTGTGTCGGGTACAGCTGGGAGATGTGACTTAAGCGTTTTCCTTTCTTCCCTATGCAGTGACAGATAGTGTCCTAGGTGCTTTGGAAAAATCGCATACCTCCTCACCACATTCTGTCACACGGGGATGGTTATTTTCTTTTTACAGATAAGGAGAGTAGGCCTCGGAACTATTGAAGAGCTGACCGAAATTATCCGGGCAGAAACCGCTCCGCTGGGCCCCATGCCCGGCCTGCAGGCCCCCCACGTCCTAAGATAAGCCCTCGCCTCTCCACACGAAACAAGCCGGTCGCCCTCGGTATGTGATTCTTCCTCTTTCCTGTCTCCTGGCTTCTCGGAGTTTCGATCTGTTCTTAGCATCTGAGGCCGTTTGCTCAGTAGTTTCAGGGGTGACGCGTTTTACCTTTCCAGTTCTGATGGCGTCACCCCGCGGATTTGATGGCCTATCGTTGTTGACGCCTCCTAGTCTCTCTGTCTTTGAAAACAGAACCCCAAACGGGCACATTTGGCGACCCCTAGTCTGGCTCGGGCTCTTAGGAAGCTGCCGGAGGAAAGACACACCTGTCAAATGTCTACCACGTGCCAGGCAATACGCAGATTGCAACGAGGTGGTCCCTCCCTGTGGGGTGAGGAGACCGACTTGTATCCACGGGTATTACACAGCGGCGAAGGCACGTATGGGAAAGGGCTCGAGGTAATAAAGATGCAACAACCGTTGGGTATAAATGTATTCTGAGGTGACTTGGTGGGTTGTCCCCGTCACCCTCCCAGCCCCCCAATCTCCCTAGTCACCTTGGCAGCAGCAACAGCCAGTCTCTCACCTGAGCCCTCTGTGGACTTCGGGGAAGGTGTGTCTCTGCGGGGGGGTCCACCTGCTGCTCTCCGGCTCGGGAGGCAAGGGCTGGTACTTCTTGGGAAGAGTGACAGGTGGCCTGTGGGAAGAGTCACAGCGGGGAACTGAGAAGGTTTGCCGCACAGGTGGCTCCTCAGACCCAGAGTTCCCACAGCCCTGCCCTCAGTGTCCCCAGCTCTGGGCCGGAGACATCAGTTTCTAGCTGTGGAAGCTTTGCAGGGATGGCCGACGCCCTCCAGGCGGCTTCGCATATCAGACAGCCACACCTCTAGGGAGCCGGAGTCTGCATCCCACATCATGCTCTTTGACTTGGTTCTCTTTCCTGATGTAATTTGCTACAGGTTGCCATTTGTTCCTCCGCGTGCTACAACCTGTTTGAGTTGTAGGAGGCCTGGGGACAAACTATGGTAACAGCCTTCGTTTATCTCAGACTGGAGGACCCGAGCTGTTTCAACTCCCCCAGAGAGACAGGAAAAGGTTTGAAAGTCTATGCGTGCCTCACTCACCCACCCATTCGCCTTTCACTCGCTCATTTATAATGTCTGCCAGGCACTGTTGGAAGACGCAGGAGATGCAGAGAGAAAAAGGCACCGTGCTGGGCTCAGGTACGTCCCTCTAGCTGGGCAGTGAGAGAAGCGATGCAATCGCCAGCAACGGGCATGGCGGAAGGACTCACGGGCCTGCGGGGACAACTGGGTGGCTGCCTCATCAGAGCCCGAGAAGTCAAGTCTGTGGCTCTCACCTGCACGCGCGCGCGCGCGTGTGTATGTGTGCGCATGCGCGCATGCTGCGTGCGTATTTGCATAAATGTATGCTTATGTAAGTCTTTTGAGGGTGTTTCCCAGCGCCAGTCCTGTCTGACAGATTTCTGGGCCGACAGAAGGGAGAAAAACAGAAAAGAAGGGAAAAGCGATGCATCGATCCGGAAAGGATGAGTCAGGTCTATGGGAGAGACGACTGTGAATGCACGAATGGCTAAACGGATGGATGAAGGCTTGTTTAATCTCATCCATCGGCCAACTGAGTGTCGATGTCAAATTTTCGTGCTTGTCTTTTTTAAAAAAAATTCTGGCGCTTTTCAAATTCTGACGCTAATTAAGGATATAGCGAAGCAGAATACTATTTAAGTGTCTTACCGAGGAGGTGGTAAAGGGGTCTGAAAAAAGAAAGAGAAGCAGACATTAAATTTATTGTTCTCTGAGCAGAGCTAACGGTTAACGATGTTTTGCTTTACAAACAGAAATGACAAATCCCAACCCAACTCCCAGGATCTATTTTTCCCAAGATCTACTTAAGCCTTCGCATCGTCCGTCCACGTTCCTACGCTTCCAAAACACGGGGAAGGAGCAAACGCGCATCGAGATTCCTCTTACCTTGCTTCCTTTGGGGGGTTTGTCTCCTAAAACGGAAGAGGGAAACAGCAGTGAGATTATGGAACATGTCAACAAGCTATTTTGACATATGTTTACATGGAACTCATTCCCATTTGAATCATCTTGATGATAATGCGAACTGACATTTGTTAATATCTAATTAGGCACCCAGCACCAAGCTAAGTTCTTCAGTCATGTGATCTCATCGAATCCTTACTGTTTCGTTCCGGAAATGAAGAAACCGAGCCACCCGGGTGTAAACCATAGAATGAGATTTCATCATATGGGCGTGACGCCTCCGATCCCCTCTTAACCACAGACTCTTAACTGGAATTAGCGTTTTACAAAACATATGTAGTCACGTCGTTAATTCGAGTTCCAGCCCGACATCTTCACTGAACATTTCCAAGCAAGGGAACATGGAGCATCACAGAATTTTCCAGATAAAACTGCAGACCTTAGACTCTCAATGCTTTATTTCATAGATGACAAAACAGATGACGAACTAGGCAGGACAATCGCTGGAGACCACCCGAGCCTAGAAAAGCCTGAATGAGGCCCAGAAAAGGTTTTCCTGATTTCTACATAGTGTGATATCCATTTCCACAACTCGATCCAAGTCAAAGACAATGACTGAGCTTCTGCTTTGAGCTAAGCATGGTACCAGGCACTGGGCGTAAAAAGACAGATATGATGGGATCCTTCCCCTCCACGGTCACAGTTCTGTTTTCCAGCCACATTCTAGGTTCTGGGACACGGTAGGGAAGGTGAGAGGCACTGGATAGATAAGGAGTGAGAATATTATTACAAGTGTGATGAGAATTTTTAAGGAGAGGAGGGATGGTATCAAAGGAAGATGTGGGAGACTTAAGTTTGGGGCGTCAGAGAAGCCTCCTTGAGAAAGCAAGGCTGGTGTATCTGTAAAAGTGGATGTGGCGTTAAGAAGTGTTGTTTTATAGGGCTGTGGGGGGAGTCAGCGGGACAACGTATGTCTCCTGTTATAGGAGACTTAAACCTCCACTGAGAACTGGCGGGCAATCCCTGGGCTCCCAATCCCTGGTGATGGCTAAGGACCCTGGGGTAACCTCCACTGAGAACTGGCGGGCAATCCCTGGGCTTCCCCTGGGGATGGCTAAGGACACTGGGGAGTTGGGGTCTGTTTCCAGCTCATCACTCTCTGTCACCGAGGGGCTTCCACTTTGATCTACTTCCTGCTGTCCCCAAAGAGCACGGTACAACCCAATCCAACCCGATAATATATTTACTGGTCCGGGTGATTTTAAGGGCTCTTCTAGGTCTAAAATAACTACTACTTCACTGAAAAAAAAATTACCATTCTCCATTTTTTTTTTTTGAAAATGCTTTTTAAACAGCTAGGATGGACTTCTCCGCATGAATTCCAATGCTGATGGCAAACGGGAATCATAGATGTTCTTGGCATTGTCAAATCACAGAATATGACCCAGGATGTACTTCAACAATGGCTGCCGTCTGGCTAATGTTATATCTCTGGCTCTTTTAATGATATTAACAGAAAGCTTAGCCCGCACAATGCTTTCCTAAGGCAGAAAATTCGAAAGCATAAGATTAACTTCCCCGTATTGCACTGGCTTCCTGTGAAGTTCGGAGCTCGCAGGGAATGACCTGGCTTTCTCGGCGAGGACTTTACCTGCGGAGCTAGATGCTGGCTTTCTAAGAGGTATTTTTCCATAGCTACCACTTTATCTCTTGGGGATCAATTCAATTCACTGGGAAAAAAAATTCAATAAAGAGACAGAGTCTGGAAGTCAATAGCCATGTCCCATTGATTGTTTCAGAGATATCTACCTCGTTTGCTTCGGTGACGGTGAGCTTAGAGAGAGACATCCTCTTCCTTATTCTTTGACTTATTATCTAGCACATAGCATGCGCCAGGCATGGATTCATTTTTAATATGTTTATTGATGCCGTTGTTGGGGAATATCAGACCAAAAAAAGGAAGAAACCTGCTATTCTCATGTAACTTACATTTCAGCAGCAGGAGATAGAAAGCAAATAAACAGAAGTATATGATGACAGGTGATGAAAAGCGCTACGGAGGAAGACGAAGCCGGGTGAGGGAGATGGTGGGGGCGTGGACAGTGAGATGGGGGACGCAGCTACTGCTGTTTAGATCCCGGAAGCCCCCGCTGGTTAGGTGTTGAGAACAGAGGCCAGGGGAACTTGAGGGAGCACGCCACGCGACGAGTATTCCTGACCGAAGGGTCAGCGCGTGCAAAGGCCCCGAGGTCAGACGGTGGAGGTGGGGGCCGCGCCCTGATCACACGTGTCTTGTGGGCTGTGGGAGGAGCTTTGCCTGAACCACGGTGCATCTTTTTTTTTTTTTTTTTTGACTCCTACAGCACCTGGTCTCCCATCCAAGTACTAACCAGGCTTGACCCTGCTTAGCTTGCGAGATCAGACGGGATTGGGCGTGTTCGGGGTAGTATGGCCGTAGGCTGTGCATCTTTTTGATACATGGCCCATGTGTCCTGGGTCTTCGTTACAATGTAAAGTTTTCTCTGGCATCGCTTAGCGTTCTTCTCACTTAAAAAAATTGTGTACGATTATTAGCAACGGTAGCAAAAATCCCTGAGGGTTTCAGCTCTCTCAATATGCCAATGAGCAGTGGTTTATGCCATCGCATTTCTCTTAGTCATCACTTAGATAACTGAAGTCTTACAAACCGAGATGCAGAGATAAATGTCAGGCACTCCGCAAGTGAGAAAACTGGATGGAGCAGGTGAAGCAACGTGTCATACGCTCGTATGGCTTTGATGACCATTCAGATCAAGTCCAACCAAAAAATTCTTTTTGGGGTACGGCTTGTTGAATAAAGTACGTTTCGAGTTTGAATCTTGATTCTGCTGTTTACCGTGGGTGCCGTCATAGGTGCTCAACAAAGATTTACGAAAAAACACATGGATTGAGGAAAGACTGAGTTTTCTCATCCGGAAAGGTGAAGAACCGTTACTCATGCTTCATGGGAATTCATGAGCGGAATGGCTTTTATTGCATACCCCCGTGACTAGTATTATTGTGTAAGGGAACTGGCAATTTGCTCTCCTGACGCAGTACCCAAATATTCTGAAACGCTATGAAGTTTCCTGTCTGTCACTCAAGAAGATCCAAGTATTTGTTCTTCCAGGCCTTTCTCCTTTTGAATTTCAATAAGGCAGTTTCACTAGGAGGAGGCTGGCATGCTGCCACCTGGTGGCCATGTGCATCATTAGCACCGTCTGACCAGAGCATCCTAACTTGCTCTTCAGACAAGATACATTTCACTTCAGCTGCCAAATTTATTGCTTCTTGAGGGGGAGTGTCGCGAGGCGCACACAGCGCGGCTGCAGAATCTGTTGGACCCAGTTTGACCATTGCCTCTATAACTTATTAGGGTGAAATCAGGGTCTGTGAAGTTATAGCAAAACCTCCCGGAGAAAAAGAAAGTATGGCGAGACCTGCTTCTGGCGTGTTGGAGCAGCTTGTGCCGGTTGAGGAGAGCTGACCGTTAAACATTTTCAGGGGTTTTGCAGCACAGTTGTTAAACACAGCCATTATTTAAAAATAAATTATATTAACCTACACGTAGGTCATATCAGAAACAAAGGCAGCTCCTGGTCAAAACTCATGACTTCCTAATGATGCCATTACATCTACTATTATTTTTGCTGTCAAAGTTACTGAGCTCTGCTGTGTCTGTGGCGGAAATACGACGAAATAGTATCGCTTCCCAACGCCGTGCTTAACCGTCACGTTGGTAACTTGAACTCTGCCATAGCGGAAGTATTGACACCACAAAAGGGGGCCAAGGTTACACATCGGGACTTGATTTATTGTTTTGCTGCCTATTTAGACGTAGGAAAGGGGTGCAGAAAATGTTAATAAAGCAAATGAAATTTAGAAGTGTTGTGTCTGTACATTGGGCTGTTCCACTGTGAAAAGAGAAAAATTGAGAAAGTGAGATTTCCCGTTGCTCCGCGTCCTCATCAGCGTGTGGTGGTGTCATGTTCTGATCTGGGCCCTTCCGGTAGGTGTGCAGTGGCATCTTATCATTTTAATTCGCATCTTTCCAGTGACGTGTGATGTGGAGCCTCTTTTCCATGTGCTTATTTGCCAACCGTTGACCTCTGGTGAGGTGTCTGTTAAGGTCTTCGACCCATTCAAGTTGTATGTTTTCTTCTTGATGACTTTTAAGAGTTCTTCGTATATTTTGGATAATAGTCCTTTATCAGATGTGTTCTTTGGAAATATTTTCTCCCAGTCTACGGTTTGTCTTCTGATTCTCTTAACATTGTCTTTCATGGAGCAGTTTTTATTTTAATGAAGTCCCGCTAATGAATTCTTTCTTTCATGGTTTGTGTCTTTGGCGTTATAGCTAAAAAGTCATCACCGTATCCAAGGGCATCTAGGATTCCTCTTGTGTTGTCCTCTGGGAGTTTTATAATTTTGATTGTTCATTTAAGACTTTCATTTTGAGTTAATTTTTGTAACAGGCGTAAGGCCTGTGTCTAGATTTATTTATTTTTGCACGTGCCTGTCCAGTTGTTCCAGCGCCATTTGTGGAAAAGACCATTTTTGTTCCTTTGTGATGCTTTTACATCTTTGTCAGGGATCAGCGTGGGTCTATTTCCGATCTCTCTACTCTGCTCCATTGCTTTGTTTGTCTGCTCTTTCACCGTCTTGATTACGAAAGCTTTACAGTGAGCCTTGACGTTGAGCAGCCGGAAGCAACTCGGTCCTCCAACTTTGTCCTCATGTATCTTTTTCCAGAGATCCTGTCATTAAATATTTGCCGCTGTTTGTGTTACGGGTTTGGTGTGACTGCTAAAGAGCTGACTGACGGAATACAAATCGTTCGGCCTCTCTGAGCTTGGATGACCTCATCTGTGATTTAAACAGTTGAAAAGCTAGATACGTAAGACACAAGAATTTGTTTCTTGATAGAAGGGACAAGGACACAATAGAGCCGCCACAGATGGGATCCTTGAAGCCATTCAAGTTGTGTTCT